AACTTTCAGACATGCAAGTTTATTCCCACTTCACTATTTACTCATGTTGCTTAATGAAGCGTTTATCTCAGTAACTTTCACACGTACAAGTTTATTCCCACTTCACGGTTTACTCATGTTGCTTAATGAAGCGTTTATATCAGTAACTTTCACACATGCAAGTTTATTCCCACTTCACGGTTTACTCATGTTGCTTAATGAAGCGTTTATATCAGTAACTTTCAGACATGCAAGTTTATTCCCACTTCACGGTTTACCCATGTTGCTTAATGAAGCGTTTATATCAGTAACTTTCAGACATACAAGTTTATTCGCACTTCACTATTTACTCATGTTGCTTAATGAAGCGTTTATCTCAGTAACTTTCACACATGCAAGTTTATTCCCACTTCACTATTTACTCATGTTGCATCAGAGAATCCTTTCTCTTGTGTCCAATTCAAAAATCCGGTGCCAATATCGTCTTCATTCCAAAACGGTTTAATTAATATTAATCGTCAGCGTTTCTCAGTAAATAGCTGTAAACTCATCATTACATTATCAAGAAAATGAAGACAGCTTTTCATGGCTTGTGTATAGAGATGTTACTCCTTCATTAGGTGAAATAGGTAATGCTGAAAGCGCAATCCTGTATTGCATGGATGGCTATGTCACAGCTCGAGTCTAGAATCGAGATTAATGTTGTGACGTTTGTTCAGCTAAAACGATACAGATATGAAACCACCAGTAGTGTACACAAGAACTTACAAACATAACGGTTTAATATATCGTAGCGATGCCGTGTTGGTTTTCTTCTCAAAGGTGAAAAAGTCTTTCGAGTTCAGAGAGAGTATATGGATAAAATAACAGGAGAAAAGTCAGTAATAACAGTTGATATTGTTGCGCCAACTTGTAACGATGTAAAAAAATAAAATAATGTTTTGATCTATTTTTAAACTTGCCCCTAACCGCCATATTCCCTAAAGAGTTAAGAGCGGAGTCAAAGAGACATACGGGTGGGGGGGGGGGGAGTATTGGGCTTGGTAGCAAAAGTATCGCTGTGGGTAGCTAGCTTATATTTTTTTTTTAAGAAAGACAAAATGTTACAAGTTCTTTAAGATGTCGTATTGTTATGTTTTTGTCCGTTTTGCTGCATGATATATGGAAATAAGTTATTAATTTGGTTATTTCATTTTTAATTGAGTTTTGGAACATGAATCTAAACGTGATCTACGTATGATGAATATGATCTAATGTAATTGAAACATTTGAACACACACGTTTGTATCAATACGCCTTTTTTCTGGTTTGCTAGGCACGATTTAGTTTCTTTAAAATACTGTTGTTTATTAGAATGACATCATTTGATTTGATTAAAAACTTTAGTGTGAAGGTAGAACAAGAAAATGTTTGATTACAAATAACAACATCATTAATATATTATTTCCACAATAAGATCTCTTAAAGTAAGCTTTGTAAAGAAAAAAAAGAAGATAAAACGTAATATCAACGCATAAAATGGATAGGGTGTACGTAAGAAAGGAATAAAGATGGCGGACAAAAGTCAGTTGGTCAAACTCTCCTGTATAAATGGTTCCGGTTCTAACCAGTTTATCAAGCTCTGATCAAGAGAGCTTCTTGGTATAGTTGATAGTTGAAATTCTATTAGACACTGGTTTTCCTTTTTTTTCTTTTTAATGGAAACACATAATGGGCAAGTAAAGAAACGTGTGCTTCAAACTATTACCAGTCATCTCGTGATATTATATTGCACACACACATACTAATACTTAATGTCATACTCCGCTAGCTAAAACGTTCTACACCTTAATGTAAGATAAACATCGAAATGCACACTTAATGGCCGATACCTATCACCAAGCTGATCCTTTGTGTTTTCGTTCCACTTTGTGACAATAAAATATGATACATACGAAAGAACATTAGTGGTCATTAGTAGCAGGATCGATGACCGTGTCTTGCACGAGCCATTCTCCACTTGTCACTTGAATATCGAGACAAATAATATGAGAGCATGTAACAATTATTGAGGATGTAGGAACCTTATAACACCATTCAGCAAGCGTTAGGTATCAAATAGAGTCACCCAACTTTTGAAATGTTATGAAGTCCTTTTTGATAAAAACACACATATCTTTATTACATTCCAGACATTTAATAAGCTAGTGTACATCACAGAGTTATTACAAACATAAGAATACTACGTCATTACTGTTGCTCTCGTTTCACGTGCTTAGAACACGTACCTAAACCGGATGATGACCAAAGTATGACAATCAAAACGTCACATTAATAGCAACTGTGAGGAAGTTGCTTTTATGAAATAAAAACAAAATTTGCTTCCTAACAGTAAAAATCAACGATTTAGAAGCTACAATAAAACTCTTTGTTTGCCTATTGTTTTCGATTTTTTTAAACATTTCTAGAGCGAAACGTCTGTATATTATAAACTATGATTCCGTTTACCATGAACGCCAAGGCTGACAAAAACTTATCGATAGACTTCTTATTATCGGACTGGATGTTTCTCTAATTGTTACTTGAGGATGATTTTAATCCAAGAATCGGTGAAGACCTATTGATTTCAATGTTATGGATAAGAAAAAATAGTTTATAATACAGTGCTTAAAACCTTTCTTATCCACAACATTTAGTTTATAATACAGCATGTTGTGGATAAGTATTATAAACTATGTTTAAAACCTTTCTTATCCATAACATGCTGTATTATAAACTATGTTTAAAACATTTCTTATCCACAACATGCTGTATTATAAACTATGTTTAAAACCTTTCTTAGCCATAACATGCTGTATTATAAACTATGTTTGGAACATTTCTAGTTTATAATACAGCATGTTATGGACAAGAAAGGTTTTAAACGTAGTTTATAATACAGCATGTTATGGATAAGAAAGGTTTTAAACATAGTTTATAATACAGCATGTTATGGATAAGAAATCCTTTAAACATAGTTTATAATACAGCATGTTATGGATAAGAAAGGTTTTAAACATAGTTTATAATACAGCATGTTATGGATAAGAAAGGTTTTAAACATAGTTTATAATACAGCATGTTGTGGATAAGAAAGGTTTTAAACATAGTTTATATTACAGCATGTTATGGATAAGAAAGGTTCCGACATAGCTATATTTCGTTTGAATGAAATTCTGATACTTTAGACAGTTCGTTTGTTAGTAGTTAAGCACAAAGCTACACAATCTGTGCTCTGCCCACCACGGGTATCCAAACCCGGCTTCTAGCGATGTAAATTCGCAGACATGCCGCTGTGCCAGTAGGAGGACATTATAAACAGCGCTCAGCAACGTCAAATGGCGAAAATAAAAGAACAGTTTTTTTATTTCAACAAGTGTGTTTTTCTTAAACAAACTAATAAGAAAATATTGCGAAAACAAATACAGGAACACATTTTCCGTTTCAAATGACTTTATCTACACATATATTTGAACTATAAACATAAAGTAAAAAAATCTAAGCTCATAACTACACAAGAATCATATTTATAGTCGAATAAAAGTATATCACTAACGGAGTTAATAACCACATCTAAACTTGGAGTTTGTGTATAGAAAAAGATTATATATGTATATATATTTTACAGTTGAGCTTTCTAATGGGCCACCGATAAATCGAAAAGAAGTGAAATTTGTTAGAGAGTTATTAATATATTTATAAACTATAAAACAGTGACAAATTAGAAGTAAATTATTAATTCTTTACTTTACAAATCTCCGAAACGCTTTGAATCAATTACTTAAAAGACAAAAGCTTTTGGAAAGCTTTTTTGAAATCGGGATTGAAAACTGTATAGATGACAGGATTCAGGGCAGAATTAACATAACCAAGCCACGTGATAAATCCACCCACTCGTTTTGATACGGTACACGTAGCACAGAAAGGTAAAATGACATACATGAGAAAAAAAGGTAGCCAACAGAGAACAAAAACACCCATTACAATTCCTAACACGCGTGCTGCGCGTCTCTCTTTCGACACGGAGATCTTTTGTCTTTGTTCCATGTACTGGCGAACTATTCCGGGTTGTTGGGTCTTTTGGCTACCATTTCGGGCTTGATTACGGTCACAACTTTTAGGGCTTTCCTCGTGTTCGCAGTCTTCCAGTTCAGATACGGCAGTCGAATTGTCAGCATTCTTGCACGTGCGGATATTTTGTAGTGGAATTTCTGTCTTTTCATCCTCCGTTGCCGCGCAGGTTGTCTGTATAATTTTCGGCACTTGCTTGGCTCGTTTACGTAATCGACGTTTGGTAGCCTGGAAAATTTTCAAATAAACCACGGTCATAATGACAAGAGGTATGAAGAAAGAGCCACTCGACGAATAAACGACGTATCCTCTCTCTTCCGTCAGAGCGCACGGCGTAGTGTCGGCAAAGTCTTTGGGCCAATCGTTCCAGCCAATCAGCGGCGGAATGGAAATTAAAGCACTTATTGCCCAAACCAAGAAGATTGTCAGCAGAACTCGTTTCAATGTCCGTTTTTGGGCGTAATTAATAGGATCGTGAATAGCCCAGTAGCGGTCCAAGGCAATTACACACAGACTCAGGATAGAAGCCGTGCAACAGAGAACGTCGCAGGTAAGCCACATTTCACACACTCGAAGTCCGAACACCCATCGACCAATGATAGAATAAGTAACATTAAGAGGCATGACCAATATGGCAACGG